TTTTCTGTTTCATGAGACTATCAGCTGTGACTCTGCAGTGCTTCCTCATGCTCCTCATTCCTCAAAACACCCTAGTGTTAATTTGGCTAAAACTGTGCTCTCAGGAGATGGAAGATGCTGGGGTGGGTGTTTAGACAGAGGGACAAGCTGTTTCATCTCTATTTCCTCTCTGCCAAGCAACAATACAACCAGGAAAAGCCCCACTTCTCACTCACCTGACCTCACCATCCTGCCCTCCTGCTTCCCTACATGGCTCCATGCCTCCCTTTCCCTTCAGATGAAACCCTTTTTTCAGCCTGCTCTGACTCCCATGCCTCTCCTTTCCTTCTCTGTCCATTCCTGGCATTGCAGCTAATTTTCCCAGTCTACAGAGCAAAATGCGTGTAGTCCTCCGTGTAGAGGTAGAGGCTGTGAAATTCCTCAAAGAAGAGCCACATCGGCTGGATGGCCTCTTCAAGCGGTGCAAGGCAGTGACTGACACCCTGACGGAAGTCCGGAAGTGAGTGATCCCTTTCTGAGTGAGAGGAAGCCCTATCATGTCTCTTGGGACCTGGTAGGCTGGGGTATCAGCATTCTCTTGGTCGTCTTGCAAATTAACTAAGACACATTTTAAGTGCTGTATTTCTGTCCCTTGTTTCTTCACTGGGGCCGGACGTGCTTACTTTGCAAATGGAAATACTGTACATTGGGCATGTCCAGCCCATTCTCTGGGCTGTGTAATTGGGAGACTTATTTTAAGACTTGCCTCTTGATCCCCAAGTCCCCCTTATCACTGGCTGGGGTTCTACTGCCATCATCAACCCAATTACCATTACACCCATGTTTGCTACTTCCTGATGGCCATAGCTTCTCTTGTTCTTGCCGATTCCAGACTCCAGTCATCATTCTGTTAATTCATGCATACATGCACGCAGATTCAGAAATGCCCCTTCAGGCAGACAAACCACAGTACATAAGAAGAACCATTTTTAATATGTGAGCTTCTTTCTAAAAACTCTGACCTGCTTTTAACTCTCCTGCCCTTTTCCTGGTAGGCAAGTAGATGAAGGTGTCTGGGATTCTTCCAGTAACCTTCTCAGCCAATCTCCAAAGAAGGTAGAGCTGGAAAGCGATTTCAGCAGAAGCTTGGATTTTGAGCTTCCCACTAGCCCTCCGACAAACCTCCACGACCTAACCGCTTCCACCGATAGCCTGGGCACAATCAGCTTTGGACAAAGCCAAGGACAGAGCCACACATCCAAAAGTAGCAATCCATCCCGGGGTTCAGAGATGGTTGCTGTGAAGCCCCAGACAGGCTCTGAGACTCCCAGCAAGAAAAGTATGGACAGATCAGTGTCTGTGGAGGTGAGAGCAATTTATATTCTTTGAGCACAAAAAAGAAGTGTTCTTGAATTTGCATGTGAACCCTTGGCAGCTGCTAGTCCTTGGAGTGATCCAGGGCCTGATCTGGATTTCCAGAACCAGCCCAAAATATTTGGATGTGTAAACGGAATGTAATTGGAGCTATTTGGAAGGCATCAGTTGAGAAAAGCTGTCCCAACAGAAAATGGTTTCCAGCCACTGCTAAAACTCTCCAACTTAGCCCCAACTCTCAATTTAGCCCCAAGTTCTTCTACCTCCTCTTCCTTATTATCATCTCCAGTCTGAGTTCATAGGTGCTTCCACATAGATTTTTACAGGAGAATTAGACAAATGTATCTTCCATTTGTAATCTCTATTTTTCATTGCTTCTTCCATCTAAAAATGCATTATTAAGAAACATAGAAAAATTATACATTGAATTCACAAAACTGGGACACCCAATATATAAGCCTACGTATTCCATATCTGTGTCTATATCCATATCTGTATCTGAATGTATAAACATACATATATATCAAAAGCATTGTATGTCAGAAACCTGGTGGACTTCAATGGCTCAGTAAAAAAATCTTTGTAAGGAAACTATTTTCCTCCACAGTTCCTATGGGTGGATCAAACAGCACTTTTTGCAGGCAACCTCCACCTCCCACCCCACCATCTTCATGGGAATTGTAATTTTTTTTCCCAGAATTAACTTCATATGCAATAAACAATAATGTAGCAATACATCATTCAGTAGACTTCACAATATGCAGCTCTATTTCAATCCATTCCCATCATGGATTGAAATGTGCCTGGCCATCATCATCATTGGCACATATGGAAAACATTGTCTGGACTCCTTATATGCACCTATAGTAAAATACACAATTCTTTGTAACAACTCAATGATTTTTTTTCCTCTTCTTCTTGAATAGCCATTTTGACCAGGATGATTTGGAATGTATAAGTAGAGAAAGGAGAGATTCTTAACTATTTCTCCAACTAAAATCTTCCCACCTCATATTGCTATGTCAGCAATTTTTCCCTGTGTAGATTTTCAAATGTAACAATGTCTTTAATTCCCTACCTAATGAGAGCACTTCCCAGTCCCCAGCTTGGTTCATAATAGACTACTCCCATCCTTAGAGCCCAAGATAAGTTTTCATTCCAATCAAACTGAAAATTTCTCCTTCTCTCACAAAAGCAGGACTGCAAACACTCTGTTAATATTGTTCCCTGGCAAGTAGGGAAGTATGCAAAAAACCCAACCCAATCACTATTAGAAATTTTACTGTCATAATCACAGTACAATATAAGTTGGGGGGGGAAAGCAATCATCTCAGTAGACAGAGATTGCCTTTGACCTTGCTGAATAGTAAGGATGGAGAGTTGAATTTTTCTTCCTCAGTCACTCCCTAAAAAAGACAGGGTTCTTCATTCACTGTCAGCCTTCCTATTTTCCCACCCACAAAGAGCCCCAGCACTTCTTGGAAATCCAGAATTCGTCTGTAGAATAAGCCACATAATATAGATTCCTGCTGTACTGTAGAGAAGCCACGTCATAGTTAATACAAGCCTACTTTACAGGCTGCAGAGCGAGACTGGGAGGAGAAGCGTGCAGCCTTGACACAATACAGTGCTAAAGATATTAACCGGCTGCTGGAAGAGACCCAAGCTGAGCTGATGAAAGCCATCCCTGATTTGGAGTTTGCAGCCAAGCACAAGCAGACTTCCAGCAGTGGTGGCAGTGGAAGTGTTGCCTCCACCCCAGAGCACAAGCCTACCAAACCCCAGCATGCACAAAAGACCACAACCAAAATGGACCCCAATGGTCGCCGGGGATCAGGTAAGACAGACACAAAATTGTATGCAGCTTGTAGGGAGAGGATCAAGCAGGACTGCGGCACACGATGAGAGGGTTTCACCTGTTCCTGCCTGGACTGCCGTCATAATGAAAATCACTCAACTGGAAGCATATTTGCCACAGGAGAGACAAAGCTCCCTAGCATCCTGCTCTGGTCCCAGTCTTGCTTTTCCCATATACCTACTATTGAAAAATAAATGGGTAAATAATTGTGTTATTTTATAATGGAAAGCAAATCACAACTGTGATAGATATAGTTAGATAAATGGATGATAGATACATGGATGGATGGATGGATGGATGGATGGATGGATGGATGGATGGATGGATAGATGATTGTTTTGAACAATTGCTGGTTTGTTTCCCTTTCATTTTAATGGCTTTTGTTTTGAGCCATTGTGTATGGATTGGTGAGAACCTTGGCCCAGGCACAGAAAGAATTTAAGAATAAACCAGGATATCACAATCTAACCATTTATTCTCAGATCCCACTAAGCCACTGTTGGAATCAATGACCCCAAAACAAACTCTTTTTTAGAGCTATGGTCTACTGTTGTAAATAGGCAATGGTTTGTTTATGTTCACACATCACAGCAGGGGTGTTATCCAAATTAGGCAACAACTGGTTCTAACAATATGTCATGTTAGCCAAGACAGTGAGAAATATCAAAATAGTTAATAATCAAAAAACTCTGTGTCTTTTAAAAAGCTGCATTATTTCAACCAGGTTAAAAAAACATGGCACATCATAACAGTAAAACTTGGTAATGCCATGACTCTTCACTGTTTCAAATAAGATTGACCTTTCTCATCACCTTGATATCACCAATTCAGGAATCTGGTGTAAAAATGTACCTGGAATAAAATTTAAACCCTTGAGAAATTCAGTGGACTACCAGAAAAAAAAAAAAACTCCATATAAAGAATTCCTTTTGAGGTGGATAGCATTTCTTGATAATGCTGTAAATGTTTTTTAAAAATAGTCACTTTTGAACTCCTATCCTAAATTCACTGGTCACATTTCTATATAGAATTAGGTTGATGTAACGCAATTTATGTACACATTAAAAAATCATCAATAGACCATTATAATGTATATCAACTTCTATTAAAAATGAAATTCTTTATTAGTTGCTTAAGTCCTAGTACTTTCAACAACAATTAGTGCAGCAAAGCCCCAAACTCCCACTTTTCCTGGCCTTCCTGGGCAAGCTGTGTGTCTGAGACCTTTTCAGGACTGCCACTTAGCCTGTTCATTTAACCCCTGATCTCTGTCCTTCCCACTCTGGACAAGTAGGGAAAAAATTGGTTTAGCTGCTCAAATATGTGAGAAGATCTCTTGAGCCAGACCTAACTGGTACACAAAAACCCTGCATCACAGTAAGTAAAAACCAACTATGGCATTGAAAGGAATCTTAAATATCTAAAGTAAAATTAGGTGAGGGTTGAAGCCTGGCAGTGGCCAAGGAAAGTATTTTGTTTCATCTTCTTTCTCTGGTCTGCCAACTTTCTATCTTCAAGGAATTCTTTAGTACAGGGGAATCTTCCAGTGTGGGACTGTTGTTGCCTGCTGTCTGATACACACCTGACCCTAGTGAAAATAAAGTCCAACAGTTCAAATTACATACGATGGTAAGTCACACATGGGTGTCTGCCAATTCTTGAGAGCATTTTAGGGGCTATGATAGGAAATACAGTGTAGAGCAACTGTAGAAAATTGAATTGAGGCTTATGCAGTAACAACACATTTACAAATATAGATCAGCATGTTTGAGGGCCTAACTTAAAACTTCTGTGGAAAAACTTGGTAAGTCCTTTGAGGAAGAGTTTACCTTCAACCAGTACTTTATTTACCAGAAACAGGGAAAAATAATTGCAGATTAAGTATGAGGAAAGTGTAGCCCTCTGCTGATTTGTCTCATGTTCTAGCATCATCCTTATGACACTGGCAGACTCATGTAATTTGTCAGAAAAGGAATCCCCATAATTGGTTTGGTGGTTTGGAGTTTTGGGGTAAGTTTTATTTTATTTTGGAGGTGGGGAACTGCATGTTCCTCTATCCCTTAAAAAAGCACATTTCACATTTTCATTTTTAAAAAATGGTCTGAAAGCTGACTAATCACTGGTCATGTTATATACCCTGCACAATTCATACTAATAACGCTATCTTTCTAGATGAGCTGACGGTGCCCAGATATCGTACAGAGAAACCCTCCAAATCTCCCCCTCCCCCCCCACCCCGGCGAAGCTTCCCATCTTCTCATGGGCTTACAACTACCCGCACAGGAGAGGTTATCGTCACCAGCAAAAAAGAATCCAGTTTCATGAAGGTACAAACCCCTTTTTCCCAATGAAGAGGTGTAGACCAGTGAGGCCAAAGAGGACCCTGTGGTTTAGCTTTTTCTTCTCCCTCCATTCACAATTTTTCCTTTTGTTTTTATGATACTAGAAAGCTGAATCAGAAGAGCTGGAGACCCAAAAGCCACAAGTGAAACTGAGGAGGACCGTGTCAGAGGTCGCCAGACCTGCTTCAACACCTCCCATCATTGCTTCTGCCATCAAAGATGACGATGAGGAGGATAGGATCATTGCTGAACTTGAGGTAGGATGGGAAGGGCATTAGACTAAAAGCAAGGTATGAAGTTCTACAGTTTTGCAAGGAAAAGATTTTAGAACTTCAACAAATTTACAGAAAAATCTCACCACAGTGGAAATTTGCCCAGGAGAGATTCATTGTGCTGATTACTTTATGGCTGAACATCAGCAAATATATATCCTTCACCTAAATATAGTCTGATTGCTAGGGATTGTACTCCTTGACTGCTGAATTTTTCATCAGCTAGAAGACTCCCAAAATCTTCATACTTTGGAACAAGCTGATAACATTCTCTACTAAGCAATTATTTGGTTGCTATGATTTTTTTATTTATTTATTTTTTTATTTATTTATTTATTTATTTATTTATTTATTTATTTATTTATTTATTTAAGTTGCTGTTGTAGCAATCTTTGACAAGTGCTTATTGGATCTGCCTATTTTTGTGTCACCAGGCAATAAGAATTGAACAGTTAGGGCCAGCTAACCACATGTAGCATACTAATGTGTGGTCTGGTTTGCACATTAACCCATATTCTCTTTAACCACAGTTTATTGATTTGAAATATAGACACAGAAGGGGAAGGAGAATTTATCCCTTCTCCACGTGTTGTTTTTTATGTTCCAAATTGGCCCCTCCAAAGTTTCTCTTCTGCAGTTTCAAATATATCTTTACTCTTACAATTACTTTTTTAAAGGTTGCTGTCAGGTATCTCAACTAAGCTTCATTAATACATTTCACCAGATAGATTTATAAGTACTCACAGAGCACTCACGGACATATTGCTTGTACTGATACATTTCACCACTGACAATACCTTGTAAAACATTGTATTGTTTTGTTGTGACATTATTATACAATAAGTCAGACTTTGTCAGCCTGATGCCCTTCAGGTGTGTTGCTCTTCAACTCCCCCATGGCCAGTGACTGTGTAGGATTGGAGATTATAAGACTGGATTTCCAACACATCTGGAGAACATCAGGTTAGGAAAGGCTGCAGTAAAGAGTTTGTGCTGATCAAGCAATGACTGCCTTGCTGATTTTTCCATTGATGTCTAGGGAAAGCCAGTTTATGTATTAATATAGCTTACTATATAACCCAGGAAAATTACTGATAACTCCAATAATATTTGTTTAAAACTCAGTTTTATGCAAGACCTCTGAATTGGCTTGAGAATGCCTCCCAACAAGCACTGTATAGATTTTTATATATTTCTATATTGTCAATGTAAAAATTTATAAAACATTTTTATGGAACTCAGATTTATTTATATATTACTATATCATATTAAACTAACAAAAAATTGCACACATGTAACTGTCATAAAATTATTTAAAGATAAAATTTAAAAAGTGATGGGGAGAAGGTCTGGAAAATATATCATAAACTCTAAAAAATTATCGAACTACTTGAAAGTCCCCTTTTTTCCCCTTTTTGACAAAAAAAATGACTAATCCAGATACTGACATACAGGACATATCAGAAATCCATTACTGCAAATCAGATATTCTATAATAATTCATTTGGCCATCCAATATATAAGTAGTTCAGGAGGAATCAAAATGCCACCATTTATTTTCAGAGTTTTGAGTTAGCCAACTATCTTTTCCAATTTGAAGACTAAAATAAGACATCATAATTTATTACACTGTGGGGCCATACAACTTAAAAGTTGCAGTCCTCAAATTTTCCCCAATTTCATAGGTTTAATTGTAGTCAATTTCTTAAAGTGAAAGAGCAGAGGGTGATGCTAACCTACAGTTGGTACCTCATATCCTATAGAAAAAACCCTGTCTTATAATTTATTGGTAGAACTATACAATGCGATAGAACTATACAATTCAGAATAACATTTTAAAGATTGTTGCTCTAGAGTCTGATATTAATCAGAAACAAACATACTATATTATGGTGGTGCATTATTTGTTTTTAAGCTAAAACTCAATAGCTTACTGGATTTCTCCCCCTTTCCCAGTAGCAGTACTTGATACAATGTAATAATTCTATTTCAGAAGCATGAAGCTTACTGTGACCATATTTAGCAAAATCTATAGATCTACAATATTTAGGAGATATATATGATGGATTAGTGGTTATTTAACTTCTTCTTCTAGGGATTTAATTATCCATTGCTTCTTTTTATAGAAATATATGCAAAAATACAGAGTTGAACAAATACTTCTCCAGGATCCAGTACAGTGGCATAACTAAGTCCCGATACAAAACATCCCACAGTATCTTCTGTATCATCTGCTTAATAAAATCTTTACCATTCAATAGAGATGCGTTCATGGAGGGACCACTTAAGAGATGTATCTAAATTGTTGTCAGATAAGTCTATTCACCTCACAGAAACATGGTCTGAAATAGTTATGCATCTGTCATATGCAAAGAATGAGATATCAGGAAATAATCTACACCCCACCCCACCCCCACCCCCAAAAAAGGCAAAACCAAGTTCAGTGCCAAGAAGGAACAAAGGTGTAATTATGTTGGAAAGAATGTTTAAAAATCAAATATCTATTAAGTTATGTTCACATAAGTGATCCTACAGATTACAAATTAAACAGTGTAATTTGGGTGAAGGATATTACATTGCACAAAGGAATTTATTTGTAAGAATTATAAGATCCAAGATTTATAAGATCTAAGATTTGTTTCAGGTGCCCCCAGTTATTATATGATCGACTGACTTGGAATACTACATTGAACATGGAGATAATGTACAGTAGTATAATACAGATCAGCTTGAATTAAACCTGAGTCTAAAAGCAGAATGTAGAGAAATAGTACCATTTTGTGGGCATCCGAATAATAGGATATACCCTGTTTAGATAATTCTGAATATTATTTTTTAAAATATTAGGTGGCCAGCATATCAGCAAGAGGTACAGAACTGGAAATGAAGCTTTTCTACAGTTTGGGGTCGGGGGTGAGAACATGTGTGAATCTTCTGTAGCTACATGTGACCATGCCACTAGTTGCTCATTTGGCAGTGTATATCACTGTGATGCATTGTTTACATGGTGCTTTTGCAGAATAATGACAAAATTCAGGCTTTCGTGGCATAATATTTGACACTCAAGGAACAAGAAGAGAGCTGGAAAAGGATACATCAGGGAAATTTACCTTCAGCTCAGTTCTGTGAACTACTGAAATTTAAGTAAAAGCAAAAACTAAGAGATTGTGTCAAATCTTAGGTGATTTTTTAAAAAAATGTTAGAAATAATCATAGTAGGTAGATCTTCAGTGGATCTTAGTAGAGATGAATCAGGGGATTTTTCCATGTACAGAAATAGTGTATCTTCTGAATGCAAGATATGGGGTCAGATAAAGGAACACGTTTATCTCTATTTCCTGCCTGTGAGTTTTCTAGAAGCATCTAACTTTATTTCAGAGAGGCCATCTGTAGCAATACTTGGTGAAACTAATAATGCTGATCCATTAATAATCATAATGGTCTTATTATACTGCAGATCCATTAATAATATTAATGGTTTTTGGAAGAGTTTTAGAAATAATGAACCTCATTATTGGATGTAAATAAGTACAGAATTGCCAAAAGTATAGATTTGTTGGGAATTAAAAGGGGCCCTGAGATAAAGTTTTTGTCATGTCTATCCAAACACTTATTTTTAGATCAATATAGTCTTTACTGGATCTTACAAGACCATTGTAAGAATTTAGGCCTAAACCTAAGAAGATTTCAGCTACAGATTGGAGAAACAAGTTTCAAGAATTGTTATTCCCCAACTTTCATAACATAAAAAAGATATGTGCTATTTTTTATTGTTGTATTCCTGTTTCTATGGGTCATGTATAAATGTGCTTTAGATTCAAGTAGGAGTCCTCATAATTTCATTACATATCTTGTAAAGTCTGACCACAGATAGACTTTAAATAGCTACATCGAAATAGATGAAATAGATGGTGCAGCTGAGATTCTTGGTTCTCAAGTTTGGAGTTCTCTTCTTCAAAGCTCTGTTTTAGGCATAATTTATAGTGTTCTTCCTTGAGCCAGAATTAGCAATCCTCAGTATTTTGCTTTCTGTATGTAAAAAACAACCACCTTCCATGTTCTGACTTCCTCAGGTATTTCAGAGAAGCTCTTCATTTATTCCTAAGTTTCGTTGCGACCAACCTGTGCCAGCCACAGACACGTGGCCCAATGGGGCCACCATAGCCACCAAAGGATGGAAGGTAACAGCCGTTGTTCAGACGGATTACAATTCCTTTCTTCTCTTCTTCTGACTGGCTACCCACTCTTTAACAGGAGTCCAATTCCTTGTCTACAGCCTTTATTAATTCAGCTTCCTCTTTCTTTCTCTACATTAATCAACTAATGGCTTTCACCCTATTTCATCACCCAACTGACACAAACTGGTGTGGATTGTGTTGATACAAAACTGGGGACCCAGTGGGTACTAACTGCATTGGGCTGTTACAGGGGGACAGAAACTACTGGGAGAACTGGACGAGTGGAATTTGTCATATTTGTTCCTTATTAGTGAAGTGTATCTCACTCTTTTGTACTGAATTGCATTTTCCATGCTCTTATAAATAAAAAAGATAATTCTGACCAAAGTCACACCATTTAGGCTAAGACCAGGTACTCATTCCCACACCTGCTAGTGCATTTATTCTGAACTGGGAAATGCTACAACCTCAACTATTGTCATGTTAGTTATGACTTGACGACTTATTTTATTATCTTTGGAAATCAAATTATTATTATTATTGTTATTGGTATTGGTATTATAGTTTTAGAAATAATGAACCCCCCTTACTGAGTACAAATTAAAAAAAAAATAGTGATTTCTATTCATATCCATCAGTCCTGAAAATATTGGGTTTAAGAAATGCCATCCCCTCCTCTTGCATGGGGACTTAAGTTCCAAACCCGTCTGAGATACTACTGATAAAACGATGTGGGGGTAAATTGGACAGTGGGTTTCATTGGTATTCAGGGAACCTTCATTTGGGATTGGAAAATATATTTTCCCT